AGCCCCCCCCCCCCCCCCCAAACCCAAAAAAAAACTGAATTTGCTCTATTATTTTATATCAGCAAATTTCACCCCAAAAAAAAAACTCTTGCATTATGTAGAGAGAGAGAGAGAGAGATTTTCTTCCTTAAAACGAAGGAAATATTTTAAGGCAAACAGTCGGGGTCATGGGGCCCACAATGAGAATCTGAAAACAAAATCTAAGGATAAAGAGGAGACAGAACAGATCTTAATCAAGCTCGAAGTTTCAGTTCCTCTCTCGTAGCGAAATACGGTGTCGTGTCGTGTCGCTGTTTCTGAATCTTCTTCCCGACCTAATCTAACTGTTGCGGAGGTGCATCGTATCTTCTCATGATGATGGCTCCTTAACTATACACGTGGCACTCTCTCCGCCGTCGATGGCTCTTCTGCTCTGCATCTCATTCTCGTGAGGCTGATCCATTGCATGTTGACCTTTCTTTCTTTTGATGTCCGTTGACCTTTGCTTACAAAATATTTCATATTTTCCCGGATTATATATATATGTGTATTAATTTAGTATATATATACACATTAATTTAGTGTCAGTTTAAGTATCTCAAATGTGTTGGAAATTAAACTTATTCCTAGAATTTTGTGATATAGGAATATGCGTTCAAAACATAGAATGATGTGTTCAAAATAATTATTGTTTAGACTAGTTTTATTATTAGAACTAGAATGTTCTCAAGAATAGTATAAATATGTGGAGGTTGAAGTTGTTTTTAATAACAACAAAATACAAGAAAAATAAAAGAAATACAAAGAGTATTCATAGAGTATTTTTTATACTTCTTCTCCTCTCATTTATCTATACTTATAAAGTATAAAGAAAAAAGTCTAAGCGCTTACAAGTGGTATCAGAGCCGGGATATCATGGCGTCGACGGGTTCGATCCAATCACAAGTTCCAAAACTTACAAAGGACAACTATCGTATGTTGAGCATTCAAATGGAGGCGCTCCTAGGATCCCTTGACGTATGGGACATGGTGGAGAACGGTTATGACGAGACGAAGACGAAGAGAGGAGAAACTCAAAGATCTCCGAAAGAGGGAGAAGAAGGCGTTATTCACAATATATCAAGGAGTTGATGAAGTGACGTTCGAGCTTATTGCCTCGGCAACAACATCCAAAGAAGCTTGGGAAATTTTGAAAAAATCACATGAAGGAGTTGACAAGGTGAAGAAGATTCGGTTTCAATCTTTAAGATCGCAATTCGAAAGTCTACAACAAGGGAGTTCCGAGTCGATCTCGGATTACATTTCACGGGTAATCACCATCGTTCACCAAATGGCGACAAATGGCGAGACGTTGAAGGATGTTCGGGTCGTGGAGAAAATTTTGAGGTCCCTTGACTCAAAATTTGATTTTGTGGCCGTTGTGATTGAAGAATCGAAGGATCCAGATACGATGACGGTGGATTAATAATCTCTCAAGAGATTCACAATTATATGTATTACGGATATGGTGGAGGAGTTAAATATCCGTAAATGATATAATATGGATCGGTAAAACACATATGTGTTTGGCAGTAAAGTTGATCGGCTCGTGAGTGAGATATATCTCAATCCGAGTGAAGTAGAACTCAGTCTACATGACTAAAACGAATTTTCTTTTACAAAAATGTAACGCGGTCCATGTTAAACTTGACACGACCCGTGTTACTTTTCTGAAGAAAAAAACTCGTTTTGCACAGAAATCTGACACGGTCCGGATTGGAAGTAACTCGGTCCGCGTCAGTAGTATCTCAGTCCGGGTCAGTTGTAATTCGGACCGAGTTACAAGTCTGTGAGAAATTCGTATTTTGCTCAGAAAGTTAACTCGACCCGAGTCAGAAGTAACTCGGACCGTGTCAGAAGTAACTCGTGTTGGGTTTCCTGGGATCTCATGAGTGAATCTAATTACTAAGAGATCGATTCTAGAGTTTGCGCAGTGGAAGTAAAACAAAAATTTATAGAACCCTAGAACCAAAATTTATAGAACCCTAGAACCATGCTGCTATTGAATCGTAGAAACGTTAGAACGCTTACCTCAATCGATCCGGGGCCTGTATCAATCGAAGAACACGTCTGATCACGAAAGGCAGGAAGAATATCTCGCCCTCTACACGTATCCACACTTCGGGATGGATTCTAACGCTTGGAACTTGTCTGCTAGGACTCGAATCTCTATTCGATATTTGCACCGAGGAATACCGAGACTTAGAACTCATTTTTGGATCTCCAAAAACTCTCTAATTTCTGCCAAAAGTCGGCTCTTCTAGTCTCACAGATCATTAGGGTTTTTTAATCTCCTTCTTATAAGGTGATTTAACCCTAATTCGGTTTAATTTCGGAAAAACTGAAGCCCGGAACGGACGATCCAGAAATACACGTGGACCGTCCGTTCCAGCAAGCAAAACGGACGGTCTGCATTCAACACGGACCGTCCGGACGGTCTATCAGTAGTTGTGGACCGTCGGGTCTGGCACGGAGGACCGTCCGTTCCGGACTTCTGGTCCGTCCGTTCCAGACCCTTCCGTCTTGGTTTTCCCGTCGTTTTCTCGTGTGTTTTGTCCTTCCCTGCGTGTGTGACCCTGTAGGCTCATTCGCTATAGCAGTATAGTCCGAAATCTCTATTCCGGATATACAAGTCATAGGCGGTCTCTAGCAAAACACTATGACTACCTATCTCGAATAGAGTTTGTTCATGATCATACGAACTCCAGTGATGATTCCGGCTGATGATC